CCTATGGGGAAATTTGCGTCGGGTTACGACCAACTCAGGATATGCCCAGAGTCACGGAACGCATTAAGTTCGTATCCCGAGGTACCACTGTACTTCCTTGAATTTCTGATTTACAACTTTTACATGCCATGAGGTTAATGTATTTACATTTCCAGAGCTGCAGAAAGGCAACATTTCAAGACTACAAATGCATCTAAAATGCTAATCAGCAGTATTCAGGATTGATCAGAAATGGCTCATATGACAGAGCAATATCCAGAAGGATCAGGAATGCAACAATTTTAATTAATTAAATTTAATGTATTCAATTTAGACACTGCCCAACTCTAAACTGACTCTGGGAAGTATATAATAAAATCAGAATAGAAAATACAATAGTGATAAAAGAAATAAAAAATAAATTAAAAACAAAACTGATGGTGAACCTGGCTAACCACACCCATGCCCTCAAACAAATGCACTTCTTAGAATCCCTATGATTTAATTAACTACACATACCTTGCTTATTTAATATAGTTGTTCCTAGTTGATTTTCAACTTGTTCCATATAATCTAATGACAGCCAAAGGAAAATGACAGTCCCAAAATCTGACAAATCTTTATTTGTCCACAGTCCAAACTTTTTTAAATGCATGGAATCTATTGAGAGTTCAATTTTCTTGTTAACTGCAACTGCAGAAAAAAAAACAATTTAACACATGTAAATGAGGTAGCATATCTGCTTTGGACTTATGGAAAAATATTCAATGGCAGTTTTTCTGCCACTAGCAGTCTCAAAGCAGTGTTTTCTAGGACGGACAGAAGCAAGCCTTAGATTTGATGGATCCAAAGTGCTTTTGTGTCCCTGAAATATATAATTATGCTCATTATCTATGCTTATCTCACATTTTTAGAATTTTGTTTATAATTGTTTTAAAAAGAAAGCAGCATTGGCAAAATAACAGTTCCACTACTTCCTGTCTTGGTCAGCACAAGCCAAAAGGATTTTGGAAATGCCAGGTTATCTGTCATTTTAGTACCATAATAATTAGAATTATTCTGATAATATGGATCAGAGCCATGATTTCAGTTAATCAATTTCTGAATATATATATTCATTCCTTATCAGTTATACTAAACATGAATTTCATAATTTCAAGTAATCAACAATCCTTTCAAAATCAACTGACCTGTGATATACAGTAAAATCAATGTAAGTCTGTAATTATTTTGTGTCAGAATCTACTCATTAAATCCAGTGGCATTACTTAAATTGACTGGCAATAACTTAGCACTCTGGTACTGGGCAGAGATCTTTCAGTCACCTGCTACTATTTCAGTAATTGAAAATGGAACTTTTGCATGCTGTAACATCCTCTCTGCAGCAATAATATTAGAATTTGTCTTTCTCCCCTTCCCATAGTGAATGAAAATAATACAGGTATTTCTGGAAAAGGTACAGATATTACATTCTTAGAACTGACAATACTATCTTACAACTCTTTTTATTGTCTAGGAAACTAATAATACCAAAAAGAAAGTATAGAAAATAAGCAGATATTAATTAATTTGAAGCCAAATTTGAGCAAGGTTTTTGTAAAGTTTAGTCAATCACTATTTAGGAGATATAAGAAAGCAACACAGAACCTTACCTTCAAATGGGATTGTAAAGCAGCTGGTGGTAAACTTCAAATTAAAAAAGAAAGAAAGAAGCAGAAACAGAAATATAGCCTTAGATTGTAATCTGAACAGGAAGAAAATAGGTCACAATATTTTAATCAATATTTTGAACTATATAAAGGGTTTCCCAAAAGTCTTGGTGCAGTTTTAAAATGCTAAAAAAAACTAAAAATTTTGTGACATCCTGTATTCTTAATTTAAATTCATATTTGCTGTCAATCACAAGCCCTCCTCTCAACTGTAAAATTTAGTAAAATTATTTTCAAGTTAATAGCCAATTTTCTTTTCATAAAGTTCCAAAGAGGACATTCAAAGTAAATTTATGTAAGTGGATCCTTGACAATAATGTCTCAAATTGAAATCAAGTTTATTTATTTATTTGATTTATATAACCAGCTACTCCAACCACCCAACTGTGGGTGATGAGTTTATTTTATTCGATCAATCAATCAACTTTATTGATTCAGTCTATTGACCATATCAAGTATAAAGGAAATAAAATAAAAAGCCACTGTAAACATACAGATAAGGATTAGTAAATATAAGTAAAACTATGATACAAGTTCATATCAAACCGTCACTCCTACAGTCAACACCAATCTGGTCTAAATAATCTGTCCTCTTTGTAATTGGTTTTGATATGAAGAGTGCAGTCTTACTGGTAATAAGTAGGTTCTTGCCCTGTAAAAAGTTGAAAAGTTTCTGCTGGCTGCTCCAGTATTTTTTATTTTTTAAATATAAATCTAAGTGGTCAGTGCCTTCTTTTCTTTTCTTTTTTTATCTGCGCTGTCATTACTGACTCTGCAGTGACTGCTTGGATGAGTCCTTTTGCAGTTTTCAAGGCAATTGTTTCGGAAGTGGTTTGCCAGAGCCTCCTTCCTAGAGCAGAGCCCAGCTGGCGAGCGCAGGAGGCGGGGTTTCTGTTGCTTTCGCGCCCTTTTCGGGCGCACGCGGTTTTTCCGCGCTTACCAGCAACTGCTCCTGACTCCTTTTTTGCAAGGCGCCACCAGCATTTTTCCTCCCACCAGAGTGAGAGTACCCATTTATCTACTCCCTTCTACTGAGTATAATTTGCAATCAAATAAGATGAATGCAGTATCTTCAACAGCTGAGGCGCCACAAATACATAGCATTTCTTCATATGGAACTCTTTGAAATCTCCCATATCTTACCATAGAGTCTAACTGATTGAAACAAGCTCTCGTGAAAGCTCTTCTAAGATATTGGGGGTAAGGGAGTTGTTAAGTACTTTTCTAGCTG